CCTCCCGTGGAGCTAGGCCAACCCTGTGCCTTCTCCCCAGCTCTGATGTAGGTGATGTACTGTTTGGGGGCGTGCTGACTCTTACTATCTTGAATCGCTGTGCTGATTGTATCCGCCAGAGACCTTAAGACTTGATCATGGCGCCATCGGTATCACCCTTCCCCCAATACCTTCGAACAACAACTGAGTGCTCCAGGGTACCCCTCTTCTGGCACAGTTGGCACTCTGAAGTATTTGCCTCCCCAGCTATACAGGTTGGATGGGCTGGGGAGAACATAAACTGATTGGATGAGAAACTTAATGCACAATGGTTCAGCTCTCCAGTGCTCCTTCCAAGTGATCTTGCGAGGCTCTGCTCCCATCTGGTCCAGGCTCCTTGCTTGTACATGCCGACCATCTTGCTATAGCGTTCTTCCTCCACCTCTGCTCGTATTTCATCCTGTACCAGTTTACGTTTCTCCTTCCCATGGCTTTTGTCATAAAGTGGTTGGGGAAAACTGCCCAGCCCTGCCCACCCCACTGCCACAGTGCCCACCAAGATGTTATGCTGCAGCCGTGCCTCCGCTCTATCTATAGCAAACTGTGCCTGCCACTTCCTACTGGTCTTCACAAGGATTCCTGCAGTCGCCACTTTAATGTCGGAGGAGTCTCGGTACACATCATAACCTCCCTGGCGCACGTTACTCCTCCACTAGGCCATTGATAGGAAGCTACAGCTTGGTGGAATGCCCATACAGGGCAATGCTGCTTAGAGAGCGAGAGAGCCCCAACCACCTCCGGAGGAACTGACTGATAGTTTTCTCTGTGGTTTCCACTGTTGTCATTGGCACCTCATACACTAGACTAGAAGAGGCCAGAGCAGCCTTGGCAAAACTGAATGTTGATATATCCAGGCTTTGACCTTTCCTGGAAGCCCCGATTTATCTATCACAGTGAGCCAGGCAGTCAGATCGCTCCTGGTTTGTTACATTGTGGCTGTGTCCTTCAGGGAACTGTCAAAGATCTTGCCCAGGCTCTTAACCAGTTTTTCTGTCACTGTTGGAATCTGAGTCCCTCCCAGGGTAAATCAGAACTGGTCAGCCACTTTTCCCTTTTTCAGGACCAGAGACCTGGACTTGGCTGGTTTATTAAAACTCATCCTTGCCCATCCAATGAGCTGTTCCAGTCCTCAAAGAAGCCATCTGCACCCAGGAACAGATGTTGCTGTCACCGTTAGGTCATCCATGAATGCTCATGAATGCTCTCCGAGTACCAGATCTAGTCTTTGGCCCTCTACATTCCACCTCCGCTGACTTGACGATCATGTTCATGGCTGATGCAAAGAGTGGCACTGAGATTGTGCAGCCAGTGATTATTGTCCTTCAGGGAACTGTCAAAGATCTTGCCCAGGCTCTTAACCAGTTTTTCTGTCACTGTTGGAATCTGAGTCCCTCCCAGGGTAAATCAGAACTGGTCAGCCACTTTTCCCTTTTTCAGGACCAGAGACCTGGACTTGGCTGGTTTATTAAAACTCATCCTTGCCCATCCAATGAGCTGTTCCAGTCCTCAAAGAAGCCATCTGCACCCAGGAACAGATGTTGCTGTCACCGTTAGGTCATCCATGAATGCTCATGAATGCTCTCCGAGTACCAGATCTAGTCTTTGGCCCTCTACATTCCACCTCCGCTGACTTGACGATCATGTTCATGGCTGATGCAAAGAGTGGCACTGAGATTGTGCAGCCAGTGATTATACCCTTCTCCAGCCAGTGCCATGAAGATATTAGTGACCCTGAGGAGACTCTCAACTTAAAGTCACTGTAGTAGTCCAGAATTATGTTTCTAATCATCTCTGGAACATGGTGTCTTGTCATTGCTGTCTCGACGAGCTTGTGTGGGATGGAACTATAGGGTGTGTGATATTGACAAGTCAAGTCAAGTCACCTTTATTTATATAGCGCTTTTAACAATACAGATTGTGTCAAATCAACTGTACAGCATTAATTAGGAAAATAGTGTTTAAATAATGCAAAAAATGCAACAACAAAAAAATCTATATTTTCTTGTATTTTAACGATAACGATAATTAGACGATATTTTGCTGAGTGTGTTATTGTGTTGGTATCTTTAGGACTACCATGGACAGCTGACTCCTAAAGTTTTTGATATTCTTCATATTTTATGTGGTGGTCAGTTCACACTGATAGAAATTAATCTTTTCCAATAAGTTTAAATTGATTTTAACCTTTTATGGACATTTTTACCTTTATAAAGCCATTTTTCAAGTGTGCATTATCTTTTGAGTCAAATTCGTACATTTAATCAGTGAATTAGAATAATAAGACATTTGGGCTGTTACCAAGCAAATGAAATCAGTATCAATAAAATTCACCTTTGCAATGGAACACAGAAGCTGCATCTGAAGTGGCATTTACAGGTGCATCTCAATAAATTAGAATGTCGTGGAAAAGTTCATTTATTTCAGTAATTCAACTCAAATTGTGAAACTCGTGTATTAAATAAATTCAATGCACACAGA